TGCGATTTGAGAATTTTTGCTCAAAATTGAATTTTCCATAAAAAATAGGGTTTTTTTGGATGGACCTGGTCCCCTCGGTATCAAAAATTTTTAGGTTTTAAAGTCAGCTTTCCAAAAAGTATAAATTCTATATACATCTTCTTAGAAACTTTCTGATAACTTAAAAAGAAAAATATACTTTTTTCCCAAAAAATGACAAAAAAATCGTCTTTTTTTTATTTTTTAAATTAAAATGCCTATAACTTTGGACTCAGTCATGATTTTTACATAATTCTTTCACTACTTGATATATAAACTTGTTGTTAAGCGAATAAAAAAAATGGCGAAAATCGGGAATATTTGGACCCGCTATTATCAAAAAAAACTAAAGTAAGGACGGTAAAAATTTTAAAATTTTAATTTTCAAATGCGAATATCTCCTAAACTATAAGAGATAATCTACTGCTCGATGAGGAGATTCTAGGATCGTTTTAAAAATTTAACATAGCCGAGGTGTCCTAATTTGAGGACCCCCCGCCGGGCCCCTGGTTGGCCTATAAGGTCCAAATTCAAAACCTAAACTCGACAGCATCTCCTCTTTGTGCATACCAAATTTCTTTAAAATCGGAATAACCGTTTAGAAGTTACCGAATTATTTCCCTCTTTTTTTTTTCCTATACCACTGTGCGGCGGTAGAACCCCAGCCTCACTTTGTCCCCCAATTTAGAGCCATCCGTGTAACAATGGATTCCTACTGGTATTTGCTCTAATGTTCCGCTTGACCAAGACATTCTATCGTAGTATTTTGAATCTTATGTACCGATGGTCAGAAAAGGAGTGCTCGTCCGAAACTCTCCAATCCCGAATTTCGTTTATAAGCTCTTCTGAACATATAGTTATATCTAATTCTTCTTCTCTGATTCTATTGACGAAGGTAGCTTTATTACCTAAGTTCGATGTGATTTAGTATTAAGGAAATCCATAAGGGCTTGTCCCCTGCGATTGGTGTTTGTACTACCCCACGCTACATGGTGGGAGTTGGCATCATAACCTATTACAATTTTCTGCCTCTTCGACCAGATTCATCAGCTTCGACGTTGGTGGTAGTGTCGGAGAATCGAAAGGCAGGTAAATAGATGCAAGGTATATGTTGCGAAGACCTTGCTTCAGCACCGTTGCATCCGATGTGGATAATCCTGTTGAGAGGAGAAAACATAAGTTCTTGTGACATAAGATACATGTTCTCGGTCGAGACCCTGTATCAGCGTAGAAAAGTTGGAAATTTACGTGATTTAATCCAGAAACCTTGTTGCGAATCGTCCAAGGTTCCTGGCTATATGTATCTTAATTTTAGCCATCAGAGCGTTGGTAGCTGTCTCGATCTGATGGAGGTTTATTTGGATAACCTCAATCATTGTCATCCATTTAAACTGTCTTCCAGCGAGTTAGTGATCACATCCCCGCTCGTTGGATTTGACTCCTCCGGGTAATATGAAATGGCTATTGATACAGTGGGTACCATTGATGGCACTGCGGTGTCAGGCATAGCAAGAGCAGTCTTTTAATCGACACTTTCCCAATTTTGGACAGCACTGCTGTTCTGTCTTCTGGCGATTAAGACGAAAAAACTAACAAAAAACCTGGAAGTCGAGTAAAATTTTAGCTCTGCGAAATTAATTAAAATATTTGTTTTCTGGAAGTTACATTTGTCACAACCCGATTTAAATTTTTTCACAACTTGGAAACTATACTACGACAAATTTGTTTTTCTGATATTCTAGGAGATTATTTGTTATACCCACCATCAAAAAAGATGGGGGGTATATTAATTTTGTCATTCCGTGTGTAACACATCGAAATATTGTTCACAGACCCAATAAAGTATATATATTCTGGGACCTCGTAAGATTCTAAGACTATCTAGTTATGTCCGTCCGTCTGTCTGTTGTTGGCACGATAGCGTCCACAAAAAAGAGATATTGAGATGAAATTTTCCCAAAATATTTTTTATTGATCAGAAATGTTTGGTATTGAAAATGGGCAAAATCGGTCAACGATTTCACATAGCCCCCATACAAATGTACCCCCCGGAATATTGTATAAAGAGCTTCAAACATTCACAAATTCGTTGTTTATGAAGCAAATGGCACAAAATTTCGCATTAGTCAGTTTTTTGACCTCCGAAATAAAATTCTGAATTATGTCGGACATAGGACCACAATTGGCCCTAACCCCCATATGAGGCCCCCTTTTGAAAATTACTATAATTCAGATTACCGGCTTAAACATACGAATATAGCGATGAAATTTGACTCACATAGATTTCATGCAAGCCAATATCTCTTCACCAAACTATATGTGGATCGGTCCATAATTGACCCTACCCCCCATATAAGGTCCCCTCCATAAAATTACTTCAACGCTCATTATTGGCGTAAAAATACGAGTATAGCGATGAAATTTCACAGAAGTATGTTTTATATGAGCCAAAATCTCTCTACAAAATTGTATGTGGATCGGTCCATAATTGGCCCTACCCCCCCCCCAAAAAAATGGTCCCCTTTTGAAAATGACTATAATGCTGATTACTGGCTTAAACATACGAATATAGAGATGAAATTTGCCACACGTAAGTTTCATGCAAGCCAATATCTCTCCACCAAACTATATGTGGATCGGTCCATAATTGACCCTACCCCCCATATAAGGTCCCCTTCAGAAAATGACTTTAAGGCCCATTACTGATTAAAAAAAAAACGAGTATAGCAATGAAATTCGACTCAAGTAAGTTCCTTGCAAGCCAAAATCACTTAACCAAATTTTTGGTGGATCGGGCCTTAACTGAACAAACCCCCCCCCCCCCACATATAAGGATCCCATCAGAAAAATAATTTAACGCTCATTACTGGCTTAAACGAGTCAAGCGATGAAATTCGATATAAACGTGACCTGTATGAACCAAGATTGTTCTACAAAATTTTACGAGGATCGGTCTATAATTGGCCCTCCCCCATATAAGGCCCCTTCAGAAAATGACTTTAAAACTCAGTACTGGCTTAAAAATGCTAGTAGATCAATGAAATTCGACATAAACTAGTTTTGTTTGATCTAACATCTCTCTACAAAATGTTGTGGGGGTCGACCCATAATTGACCCTACCCATTTAAGGTCCCCATCAGAAAAATACTTTAACGCTTATTACTGGCTTAAAAATGCGAGTGCAGCGATGGAATTCGACACTGATAAGTCTCTACCAATTTTTATGATGATCAGTCCATAATTACCCCACCGAAAATGATTACAATGCTCATTACTGGTTGGAAATTTTACATGAATATGATTCGTTCTACGAGATTTAAGGATGATCGGTTCATAATTAATCTTTTCCCCCATACAAGGTCCCCTTAAGGAAATTACTTTAACTGCCTGAAAATACGGATACTGCAATGCAATTCGACATAAACTGAACTGAAATCTTCCTACCGACTTTTATGAGAATTCATCCATATATGTATAAATAACCCTACTCCCTATACAAATTAGTATTTTTAATTCGAAAGAGCACTGTCAATAGTTGAACCCCCATTAATAGACCTATTTCAAATATTACCGTGATGTTCACATTAGTATCGATATATAATAATAAACTATTCAAAATATCAAAGTTTATTTATATGGCAGTAATTTGATGGTGGGTATATAAGATTCGTCATAGCCGAACATAACACTCTTACTTGTTTTTAATTAATTTTAAATAAAATTTAATGGAAAACTACTAAATAGTTCTCCAAACTCTGTAAAACATCTGTTTAGAAAACTCCGAAAAGCTGTAAAGGTACTGTTTATTTAGGGGTTAGAGGGAGATGGGTAGATGGGTACTTACGCGGGAATTAGAGGAAGGGTAAATAAGCAAGGCTTGGGAATTTTTTTTTTTTCTTAAAAAACGTTATAAACCGTATATATGTTTATTGAACTTTGGGTAAGTATATGGTGTAAGTATAATATATATAGGGTAAGTATATAATTCACAAAATTTTAGGTTAGATTTTATGTGCAAGGTAAGTATTTATTATATATATAGGGTTAAGTTTTAATAGTTATTTATTTAGATTTTAACATTTATTTATTTATTATAGGGTAAGTAATTTAATTAAAGAAACTGTGATACACTATGCTGTGATTTCTATTAGCATATAAGTTTTAATATTTTAATTTACTTTTAGGTTTAGGGTTTTAAATTTATTTTATAAATTCAATAGATATTTTGTTGAAAGTACACTTTCGATAATTTCGTAATTTTAAAAAATAACCTTTATATTTGAAAGTACACTTTCGATAATTTCGTAATTTTAAAAAATAACCTTTATATTTGAATTTAACAATTTTTGTACCTTTACAAGTCACAATAATTATAATTTATATATCGTGAATTAAAAACTTACCTTCCACTTGTAACGTAGTTTTGTAGCTTAAAATAATGTAGCGTGGCAAATGAGTTTTTTGGGTTGAGAGCTATTTTGTTTTTTCATGAATATCATTCCTGTTTTTCTTTTACCCAAGACTGGATCCCAAAACCTCATTCTCCTATTAACAACATTGGATTTCAATAAAATGTAAGATTGAAGTTAACAAATTTAAATAATCTCTCTTTTATTTATTTATTATAAGATAAACCCCTTATTCCTAAAAAGAGTTTCCCTATATTCCCTATACTCCATTAATGGTATTAATTCCTAACGTTCATCCCGAACGTAAGCATCTCCAACCAAAAATCCAACATTTCGTTGGGTTGTGTTGAAATTATTTAATAAAAAACATCAATTCTTTTAATAGAATTAAATTATTTAATAAAAGCAGATTTTAGCTATGTATTCATGGTCCATTCTTGCCTAAGAAATTTTATTTCAACCTAGTGGCAACCTTTAATATACAGTCCATAAAAGCTCGCTCAATAAAATTAATAATTCATGTATGTATGTATATGAACGTGCATAGGTACTCATTACATATTAAAAAGAGCTTTCATTCTTCACATGGTGAGTGCAGTGGTTACAAATTAAAGAATTTCGTGGAGTAAAGAAAGAAAATAAAGGAAAAAGTATTTTCAAATAAATAACTACGAAAAGACAATTAAAACATTTATAATTTAATAAAAATTTAATATATTTCTTAAGAAAGTGTTTAAAATACAAAAAAGAGCCGAACAACAACTACACCTAACAAAAACCCAAGCAGACCAGGAGCACCTCCACACAAAACCGAAACAACAACAAAGTTTGGAAAACTATCACATTGGTAACAACTACGTCTAACAAAAACCAGGAGTACCTCTTCACAAAAACGGAACAACAACAAAATTTTGGCAAAATTTAAATAAAATCACATATAAACTAGTCGAAAACCAATAACACCTAACAAAAACCCAAACAGACCAGGAGCACCTCTACACAAAGCCGAAACAAACAACAAAGATTTGGGAAAACTATAACATTGGCAACAACAAATACACCTAAAACGGCAATATTACACACATCAGGCGTACATCATCAAAAGACAAGATTAGAAAAAAAAAACTACAACAAAAACTACATGTGCATGGAAAGAAAAACAGTGAGTACCTTAAGTGATTTCTGTTTAATACATCAAAAAAAAAAAAAATACACATAAACACAAACAATTGCAATTCCTAAAAAGGTTTAAATAGAAATTGGCTTCAAATTTAAAACAACAAAACACACGCAAAAAATTTACCGCAATCCTAGTGTAATTTGTTTTTGTATAAAAACCACCACTTTTTTAAATAAGTTTAAGAGAGTTTTATGCACTCTTCTCTTTCAAATTAATTTTGAATACAAAGATCTCTTCACGATAAAAGCTTTTGATATTTGCTTTTTTGCGGGTGATGCCATATAATTGTTAAAAATCGCCAAGTAAAAAATATCGCAATGCAAATAAGAGAATATATTAAATTAAACTAAACAACGATTATTTATTACCCAACACAATTTTAATCATAAAATTGATTTAAAATACTTAATTATTGCGACAACATGAATGAGAGATTATTCATTTGATATATCCGCACAGCTACGTTGATGTTGTGACCATTTCCTTAAATTTTTCTTAATATTTAAATCCCAAACCCAGCAAATTTTTTTTTTAAGAAGTTCAAACAATACACGATTTCAATACCAACCAAATTTGTTGTTGGTTAGTTCAAATTGGAATTGAATAATAAATTAAATCCATGCTCATTGGTACTTGGTTTTACATTTAATAACACTTTAAAATAAAAAACCTTTCATTTGAAGATTTTAAATATAGTTTCAAGTTCCAAGAAAATTTTTTTTTAAAAACCAACCAATATAAATATTATATGAGCTTTAGATTAAATTACACATTATAGTTTACAAATCCCAGTAAACATTTCAATTTGGTAAAGAAACAAATATATATATCAAGTCTACTCAACATGGCAAACGATTTTATTTTCGATTCAGACGATTTGGTGACATTTTGTTCTGCATTCGACAACATCCCGGTAGACGAAGCTGACAGATTCCTTTTTAGAAGTAAATCTCCAAGATTTAAACGACCGTTGGACAAATCTACAACGATCTTACAGATCTATCTGCACTGACCAAAGTAATAAACTCGAAAAAGAATTTTAGAATCTGCTAAAGGAAAATACTTTTCTTGCAACGAAAGCATTTCATAAATGTAAATCAAAGATTCTAGATGTACAGAAATCTTTCATCAACCAATTCTCCAACTCAAATACTCGAACACCCAATTACTTCTGAAGATAGTTTTTCTCAAGTTAGAGTACCACCATGCGATACCGACATATTTTATGGTGGTTATGAGGAATGGCCGACCTTTCGTGATATGTTCACAGCCGTGTACATAGATAATCAACGGATCCCGCCCGTACAGAAGTTATATTATCTTAGGTTGAAAGTTCAAGGTCAGGCGGGAGGTATTATTAGGAAATATAAATTATGTGCATCGAATTTCACTATTGCTTGGGATGCCTTAAAAGACAGATATGAGAATCAGAGGATTCTCGTTGAAAATCAAATTAAGATACTTCTCAATCTAAGCCCATTGACTAGTGAAAGTAGTGAATCCCTTCAAAACCTTCAAAGCACAATTAACGACTGTCGAGCAGCAATAAACTCTCAGGATGTTCCGATAGGTGAATGGGACCCTTTCATCGTAGTACTATGTTCAAGTAAACTCCCTGTGGAAACTCTTTCTTTATGGGAACAATCTCTAGAATCTCACCGGAACTTAGTTAAATGGGATAAAATGGACAAGTTTCTGTCACACAGATGTGAAGTTGTCGAAAGATTGGAATCTCGAAATAAAGATTTACGATCCCAAATGCCAAAAAGAGAAAATAATACCAAAGCAACCTCTTCAAAAACAGAAAAAACACAATATCCATGTAAGATTTGTGATTCGAATCACGCTCTTAAAAATTGCTCACAATTTTTAAATTTTGATCCACAAACTAGAAATCAATTCGTATCTAATAATAATATATGCCTTAATTGCTTAGCTTATACTCATACTAGGAAAGATTGTCCCAGCCAGTTCTCCTGTTCTCATTGCAAAAGAAATCATCATTCTCTATTACATTTCTTTAAGTCTACTAATTTAGATAAATCAAATTCTACAGCATCAGGTACTCATGTGTGTATTAATTCACAGGAGGAATCTCCCAATGGAAATACTTTGTTACCCACAGCAATAGTTCAGATTAGGCACCAAGGTGAAGATTTTAATGCCCGTGCTTTTCTAGATCAAGGATCTGAAAAAACGTTCATTTCTACGAAACTTCAGCAAAAACTTATGCTCCCTATAGAAAAAAGAGAATTCCAAATTTTCGGCATAGGTGGCCAAATAGTAGCACATTCGAACTCCTTATGCAGATTGACTTTGTACTCTAAGAAATATAATCGGTATGTTGACATACAAGCGATAGTGGTCCCAAAGATAACCCGTATGTTGCCCAGTTTTTCTATCTCCAAATCTAATCCATCCATTTCGGATTTGAATGAGATTGAACTGGCAGATCCTGATTTTCACAGATCTGGTTGTGTAGACTTACTCATTGGAAGCAATGTTCTTCCACAAGTTCTTCTTGAAGGAGTTAAAACTATTGCCAGTTCTCTCATGGCACAGTTAACTATTTTTGGATGGATCATTAGTGGTCCGATCAATGTAGAAACGGTTTCTTCATTTTCCATTGGAGTAACTGAAAATAGTTCCGACACCCTCAGCTATCAGTTAAAGAAGTTTTGGGAACAAGAAGAAGTCCCCACAATTCGTCCTATTTCTAAAGAGGATGAATATTGCGAAACATTATTTCAAAAAACCACTTTTCGAAATAGTGATGGTCGTTTTGTCGTGAAACTTCCTTTCAAATCAGAATTCCCACGGGACATGTGTCTCGGACCTTCAAGGAATACAGCAAAAGCGCAGTACTTCCATATGGAACGTACATTAAGTAAAAAACCCGAACTCGCTCACACTTATAATGAGGTTTTAGAAGAATACTTAACATTGAACCATATGGAACCGACCGTTTCTTGGGAAAATATATCTCGTTATGGATATAACTCTTTTTATTTACCACATCACGCGGTGGTCAAACCCGAGAGTCGTAGCACAAAAGTCAGAGTAGTTTTCAATGCGTCAAAAAAGTCAAACTCAGGATTATCACTCAACGACGTTCTTCACATTGGTCCTACACTACAAGTAGACTTGATGAGTTTGATTTTGAAGTGGCGATTATATAAATACGTTTTCAATGGCGATATTGAAAAAATGTATCGTCAAATTTTAGTTCACAAAGAAGATGCACAATTTCAACGAATACTCTTTCGTAAAAATCCAACCGATCCCATTCAAGATTTTGCACTTAAAACGGTAACATTCGGCATAAATTGCGCTCCGTATCTAGCGATTAGAACTTTAGTTCAGCTGGCTAAAGAATCTCAAGAAAAATTTCCACAAGCGGCTTATATTCTAAAGCACGAAATATATGTTGATGATATATTATCAGGTTCTCATGATATAAAATCGGCAATCGACTCCTTAAAGCAAGTAATTTATGTACTAGAATCTGCAGGATTCCCACTAAAAAAGATCACTTCCAATTGTTCTGAAATCTTAGCATCTGTCCCTAAAAATAACCTTCTCGACTCAGATTTTCTTAAATTTAAAGAAACAAGTACGACAAAGACTCTTGGCATTCAATGGAATGCCCTGTCTGATTCATTTTCTTATACTATTGATCCCATTTGTCCCAGTAATACCGTAACGAAAAGGCAAATTCTTTCTAGCGTCGCCAAGCTTTTCGATCCAGCCGGTTGGATTTCCCCTATTATTATACAAGCGAAAATGATTCTTCAACAACTCTGGTTAGATGGTACTGGATGGGATGATAAAGTTAAACCCTGCACCCTAGACTTATGGAACGAATTTGTTACAAATCTGCCTCTAATTTCAAACATTAAAATACCCCGATGGATAGAGTTTGCGCCCTCTAGAATGACCCAGATTCATGGCTTTTGCGACGCTTCAGAAAAAGCTTATTGTGCTGCGGTATATGTTCGAATGCAAACAGATTCCATGATTGAATCCCATTTATTAGTTTCGAAAACGAAAGTAGCTCCCATTGACCCTGTTAGTCTGCCCCGATTAGAACTTTGCGGTGCTGTTTTATTATCAAAATTAATCAAACAACTGACTATTACACTACCTTGCCATAATTATACTCTCTATCTTTGGACCGATTCCACTATCGTCTTAGGATGGTTAGAAAAACCTCCCAATACATGGAAAACTTATGTGGCCAATCGAACAGCTCAAATAATTCGGAATGTTGGTAATATTCCATGGCGTCATGTAAGATCTGCTGATAATCCAGCAGATTTAGGATCTCGCGGTTGTAACCCCATGCAACTCACAAATAACTCTTTGTGGTGGAACGGACCAATTTGGCTTCGAAAATCCCCCGAAGAATGGCCAAAGCCCATAATAATAGAAAATCCACCCGAAGCTAAAAATAAAATTAAAATATTTCATTTATACACTAATATTAATGATGAGAATGAGGAAATCGGCGAGGACATTTTAGATAGATATTCGAAATGGGACAAAGCTATTAGAATAATGACTTACGTATTTCGATTTCTCAATTCCATTAAAGAAAGACTTCTAAATTCTTCCAAAGGACGATTGTTACTTGCATCTCAGTTGCACGATATATCCCCTGCCGAGGCGGTAATAATAATGATAGGAAAAATCGCATATATTAGTTCCCAAGAATTTACAAACACTAAAAACAAATTAGTTAGACTAACTCAGTTAAGACACTATAATCAAGAATATGAGTGTTTAATCAAACACGAAAATGTTAATAAAAAAAGTTCTTTATATCCCTTAAATCCATACATAGATGATAATGGTGTCATTAGAACAAACGGCAGAATATCAAACTCAGCGTTACCTTTCAATGAACGGCACCCCATTATTCTACCTGTCAATTCCACATTTTGTAAATTATTAATAGATTTTATGCATAATCTCCTTATCCATGCAGAAATCAATTTAATGCTTCGAGTTATAAGATCAGAATATTTCGTCCCAAGATTGAGATCTACGATTAGATATTTTGTTAGAAAATGTCACACATGCATTCGCTATAAACAGAAAGTAAGATCACAACTAATGGGAGCCTTACCATTAGAGAGAAGTTCTTTCTCACTTCCGTTTACATTCACCGGTTTAGATTTTGCAGGGCCATTTTCCATAAAAACATCAGTCATTAGGAATGCACCATATCACAAGTCTTATGTTTGTGTTTTTGTTTGTTTTTGTACAAAAGCTGTACATCTTGAGCTATGTTCAGACTTAACTACCGGCTCGTTCCTAGCAGCATTCACCAGGTTTGTAGGGCGTAGAGGATTACCGAAGAAGGTCATGTCTGACAACGGAACAAATTTCGTAGGTGCTGAACGAACTCTTCGATTGGAGTATGAGAATTTTATTAAAAATGCGTCTGAAGATATCGCAGCAAATTATGCATCTCGAGGTTTTCAATGGTCCTTTATTCCACCTAATGCCCCTCACATGGGAGGATTATGGGAAGCTGGGGTGAAATCTTTTAAGAGTCATTTTAAAAAAATAACACAGAATAGCAAATACACGTTTGAAGAATTCACTACCCTTTTAACCCGAATTGAGTCAGTCTTGAATTCACGACCTTTATCTCCTATGTCCGATGACCCAAATGAGCTATTAGCTCTCACTCCTGGCCACTTTTTACGCGGCGCACCTCTCTTGTCTCTTCCAGAAGCTCCTATGGAAACCCTTACCTTAAGAGATAGGTGGGAAAAATTAAAATTCATACACCATCAATTCGCACAACGATGGAAAGATGAATATCTCAAGGAACTTCAAAAGAGATACAAGTGGCAAAATTCAGAAGAAAATTTATGTGTAGGTCAACTGGTCGTTGTTAAGGATGATTTACTTCCCCCTAATGAATGGAGATTAGGTCGAGTCGTAAAAGTATACTTCGGTAACGATGGTTTAGTTAGAGTTGCAGACATTCGAACTCAAGTAGGGATGATAACTAGGGCTATTACAAAACTCTGCATTCTCCCAGTTAATTCGGCACAAAACTCTTAGAAAACCACATAAATCATTCTCCAAATTCCTCACTCCTAATTTCCTATTAAAATATTCATTCATATACACATACACTAACACACATCCAATACACACATCAACACGCTAATATTTCACTCCTTATTTAGCTCAGTACTAATAATAGTTTACTCCACAGGTCTCGCACAAATGCTAGTATCCATCAATGTCGCATCTGTTACAGATTCCATCCTTTGAAGTATTGTAAAACCTTCTTGGCAATGAATGTGGAACAGCGGAAACGAGAGGTCCGGATTAATAAATATTGTCTGAATTGTCTGGCCAGGTCCCACATCACTGCTGATTGTACATCGGATCAGGTATGCCAACGATGTGGTTGGGCGCACCATACCCTACTCCATGCCCCCCGCCATGTATCAACAACAGCACATTCGGAGGAACAACAAAGCAGAGATGGGCGAATAGCGTCAACTAATGGAAATGCGTCGTCACGACGTCCCCAAAGGTCACGTTTAGATCATCGTTTAGGACCATACACGCGTCCTAGCTCCCATTCACATCCACGCTCCTATTCACGCCAACAACGGTACATTACGGATCGTGCCACACGGTCAGATGATCCATCGATGTCAAATCCGAAACAAATTTTGATGGGTGCTCTGCGAGCACTAGAATACCTCGCTCAGACAATATAATGCAGTTGGCCATATTGGCCAAGGGGCCCAACATGTTGAAAGTACACTTTCGATAATTTCGTAATTTTAAAAAATAACCTTTATATTTGAAAGTACACTTTCGATAATTTCGTAATTTTAAAAAATAACCTTTATATTTGAATTTAACAATTTTTGTACCTTTACAAGTCACAATAATTATAATTTATATATCGTGAATTAAAAACTTACCTTCCACTTGTAACGTAGTTTTGTAGCTTAAAATAATGTAGCGTGGCAAATGAGTTTTTGGGTTGAGAGCTATTTTGTTTTTTCATGAATATCATTCCTGTTTTTCTTTTACCCAAGACTGGATCCCAAAACCTCATTCTCCTATTAACAACATTGGATTTCAATAAAATGTAAGATTGAAGTTAACAAATTTAAATAATCTCTCTTTTATTTATTTATTATAAGATAAACCCCTTATTCCTAAAAAGAGTTCCCTATATTCCCTATACTCCATTAATGGTATTAATTCCTAACGTTCATCCCGAACGTAAGCATCTCCAACCAAAAATCCAACATTTCGTTGGGTTGTGTTGAAATTATTTAATAAAAAACATCAATTCTTTTAATAGAATTAAATTATTTAATAAAAGCAGATTTTAGCTATGTATTCATATTTAGTTTTTAGTTTTAATTTTGGATTTTAAATTTTGTTTATAATATATGGAAACACTTTCACTTAAATTTGTGGTTTTTAGGTTTCCTTGTAAGTTATTATTTTTAACTTTAAAACTGCCGGGTTAACGAGGCGCACAGATTTTTTGTTCTTCTCACAGGTGGATTAGAATAGAAGTAAGTAAAAAGGCAAAAACTGCAGCTGACGTTCGTATAAAAAATGAAGTTGGCTGCAGTTTGGTGTGGGTGCTATTGGACTTCAGGGATGGTAACGTTCAATTGTTCACTGATGTGAACATCCTCCCGGGCCTGGCAACCTGTGAAGAGAAAGGAACAATTATTTTTATTTATTCAATAAAAATGGTGTAGGGTAATAGGGTAAATTATGCATGTAAAATACTTCATTGTGTGTGGGCTTATTGGGTAGAGGATCCCATGACCAGCCAGCCAAGGGTGGAATCCTGGGCTATAAGTGATCCCCCGTCAATGTGAATCACATTCGGTTGTAGGATGCTTGTGTAAAGGTCTCCACCAATTTCCATGGAGACTGGGTTGTTGGAGTAAAACTCCGGGTCAGCCAGCGATATGCGACACAATTTACTTTTAATTGTTTCGTCCATGGGGCTTGGATATGGGGTTTTTGGCAGATCCTTAACCACCTCCATGCAAACCTCGTATCGGAGGCTTGAGGAATAATTTGGTGCAATTAACACCTTCACAAACACCTCTTTGTCTATTTTGAAGGGAGCTAGGGAACTTTCACTAACAAAGACGGCTGCTATTCTAGACTTAGTCAAGCTAGGATTTAGTATTGCCCTTGCCCGCCGACTTCCTACCTGCACAACTGCTGTAGGAACAAACGTTTTCATCATCGACGTTGTTACCGGTGTTGTAACTTTCACGATGGAGTTCTTGGTGCCGGAGTTGGTGGAGGGGATTGGTCCTGGGTCAAATTCTTTAAAATCCTATTTGGACCATGTAGGGTGGAGTGGTGTTTACCACCACATTGTTGGCAACGAGCCTTACTCGTGCAACCGCCAATGAGATGGTTCCTCGCCAAACAATTGACGCAGTAGTGCAATTTAACTGCGGTTTTGTATTTCTCCGCCCAGTTCATCTTTTGGAACTTTCGACAATTTGTTAAGCTGTGATCGGCTTGACAAATACCGCAACCAAAATGGCGTTTTGGTTGACGTTTATCGTTTTTGCGGTTGGGTTTGCGGCTGGAACGGTTGGAACGTCCTTTACGATTGTTGTTGTTGTTGGGTGCCATATTCTGTATAAAAGAAATTATGTGTGAATGAATGAAGTGTAATGAATGTGTTATTGGGTTAGGGTGAAGGGTTAAACGATTCATAATAAATTTCGGTTAGTTAGGGTGGTTAGTTGAGCTAGTTAGTGATGATATTGTTATTTTGGGTTAGGGTTTGAGTAAAAGTATTAGACTAATTAGCGGGTAAAACAACAATTTTAGTAATTGGTCGGGTTAGAGTTCCAGTTGAAGTTTGTAAGTCAACTACTCTATTTCTACCATCAGAACCAGGGTGTGTTTTGGTCACACGTCCAAGTAACCATTCATTGGGTGCTAAATTGTCTTGTCTAATTACTAATATATCACCTATTTCAACTTCTCGGGTAGGGTTTTTCCACTTGTATCTTTTATGGAGCTCTTTAAGATATTCATCTTTACATCTTTTACAAAAGTTGTGATGTTGTATCTTTAATCTTTGCCATCTGTTTGCCAGGGTTATATTATCACTGCTTGTGTCGGGTTCTGCAGGGGTAAGTATGGGTGAGCCAATTAAAAAGTGTCCAGGGGTTAACGGGTTAAGATCCTGAGGGTTTTCACTTGACGGGCTTAAGGGTCTCGAGTTTAGGCATCCTTCTATTCTGGCAAGGAGTGTAGCTAGCTCTTCAAATGTATATTTTAGGGTATTTATTTTCTTCAAATGAGCTTTAAAGTTTTTAACTCCTGCCTCCCATAAACCGCCCATGTGTGGTGCACCTGGGGGTATAAAATGCCACGTCAAATTCTGAAAACTGCTAGTGGACGTAACAGATCCTTTTAGCTGTTTAATAAATTCCTGTCGCTCCTTTTTCAATAACTTGCTAGCACCTATGAAATTTGTTCCATTGTCCGAGTAAATGGCGACAGGGCATCCCCGCCTCGAAAAAAATCGAGCGAAGGCTGCCATAAAGGCTTGGGTAGACAAATCAGATGTTGGCTTCAAGTGGATGGCTTTTGTTGCAAAGCAAACAAAAACACAAACGTAACCTTTCGTTATTTTACAAGTTCTACCACTATATGCTTTGACGTCACATCACGGGTAGATTTGATCTCTGACGCATCAAGTTCAATACTTGGGTGGGTAGTTAATAAACGTAGTCTATCATTGACTACCATTGTGGGTTATTTCGATCAAGAATAACTCTATCATTTCGAATTGTATTTCTTCGGGTATATGATGCGCGATCACAAAATCGATAGACATATGTCATTACTCTTAGAGCTTTTGACAATTTCGAAAATCTTGATAATATGTCTGGGTTTTCAGTATTCGTATCTAAGGTAGGGTGGGTATTAACTGTCGTAGTAAACGACTGACTAACTTTAGCTTCAGCTTGAGTAATAAAGTGTTTATCTGTTGTTGGCCACTTCGACGCGACTTCTTTCAACCACGATGGTCCATTCCACCATAAAGTGTCATCTTTTAACTCATCAGCATTACATCCTCGGCTAGCAACATCGGCAGGATTATCGTGTGAAGCAACATGATTCCAGTTATCTACTCCTACTGTTTGTAGAATTGTTGAAACTCTGTTTGCCACAAATGTATTCCACGAGTTAGGGTGTTTACTAAGCCAGGCCAAAACTATAGATGAGTCGGTCCAGAAATACGTCTGATGTAAGGGTAGGTTGAGTTGGGTGAGTACATTGTGTGTCATATTTGCCAACAACACTGCACCACAAAGTTCAAGTTTTGGTAACGAGATTACTTTGATTGGCGCAACTCTCGTCTTAGCGAAGAGTAGGGTTACGGAATTAGGTCCGTCTATGGGTGTTACTCGTGCATATAGACATGCAGAGTATGCCTTTTCAGAAGCATCTGAAAAACCATGAAACTCAATTTTTGCTGAAGGTGAAAAGTTAATCCATCTTGGAATACGAATTCTATTAATATTATCGTAGAACTGCAAAAACTTTTGCCATTTTATAAAGGTGAGTGGGTTAAGACATTCATCCCATGCTGTATTATCTTGCCAAATTTGCTGCATAATAATCTTGGCAGATATAACAATTGGCGCTAACCAACCAGCTGGGTCAAAAAGACGAGCAATGTCTGATAACACAGTTCGCTTTGTGTATGCTGATTTTCTTTCAATTAAGGGTACATTAAAGAAAAACGTATCTTCTTTAGCATTCCAACGAATGCCTAACGTTTTAGCATTATTTGATTTGGGTAGGGTAAGTAAATCAACATCGAGTAGATGTTCTTCGGGTAATTTATGTAATAATTCCTTTGTATTGGAAATCCACTTTCTTAAAGGAAAACCAGCAGAGTCTAGAGCCGAGATCAATTGGGTTTGAGCTTTTTGAGCTTCTTCAATTGTGTGACCTCCGGCTAAGACATCATCAACATACATGTTGTTTCTCAATATTTGCGAAGCTATAGGGTGGGTATTTTGAATGTCATCGGCTAATTTGTGTAGGGTTCTAATAGCCAAATATGGTGCACAGTTAACACCAAATGTAACTGTTTGCAGTTCATAATCTTGAATGGGTTCGTTGACGCTTTTACGGAATAATATCCGTTGGAAGGGTGTGTGGGTTGGGTTTAGCATAATTTGCCGGTACATTTTTGTAATGTCGGCATTATAAACTATCTTGTAAAAGCGCCATTTCAAGATAAGTACAACTAAATCTTGTTGTAGGGTAGGACCAGTGTGTAGGGTATCATTAAGACTGTTGCTGTTCGAGGTTTTGCTAGATGCATTAAATACAACTCGAACTTTTGTCGTAACACGATCAAGTTTAACAACAGCGTGATGGGGTAAATAATAATGGGTGTTTGAAGGAGTGTTTGGGTTATATTTAATTGGTTTCATATGACCTAAATCGATATACTCTTGTAGGACGTTATCATATTCCATTTTAAGCTCTGGCTTTTTCATTAAACTTTTCTCGTTACGTAGAAATTGAGCCATAGCAACGTGTCTAGAGTTTCCTAACTCAACAGGAGGGTATATAAATGGTAAATTTACCTGATAACGGCCATTTGGTAATCGAAGGGTAGTGGTCTTGAAAGTTTCTTCACATAAAGAACTTTCTTCTGAAACTTTGGGTTGGGTGGGTACATCTTCAATTTCCCAGAACTTGGTCAAAACTTTATCAAGCGTGACTGAACTGAAGTATGAAACTAAGGGTTGGTTATTTTGCGAATTCTGAACGGGTCCTGTTAAAATCCAGCCAAACTCAGTTTCCTGAGCTATAAGGGTATTAAGTAAGTCTTTTCTGACTCCAGATTTTAGAATCTGTGGGTAAAAATCGCTGCCAATAATAAAGTCGATAGGTCGGCTTTCATAGAACCTTTGGTCAGCTAATTGAATATTTTCCAAATCTTGTATTAGGGTTGGGTTTAAGTTTTGGGTGGGTAAGTTTTTGGTTAATGTTTTAACAACAATTGCTTGGATATTCAATTTAAATTCATTTTGTGTGTTAGAGCGCAATAAAACTTGACATAATTTATTCGAACGAGCTGAAACTATTTCATTCAATCCTGATATTTCAGCAACTATGGGTGTAGTGGGTAATTTTAACTTCCTTCTCAGTTTATCTGTGATAAACGAGAAGTCTGAAGCTGGGTCAATAAGCGCTCTAGCTGGAAATAGTTCTCCTTGAACATCAACGTTCAGAACTGCAGTTCCTAATAACTTTGTTCTGTCATCTATGGGTATGGGTTTGCTTGATTGGGTGTGGGTTGAGAAAGACTGTACTGCGTTTTGTGATGTTGACGCCTGAGTATTTTCAACTTGTGGGTTAGGGTTAGAGAATTTTTGTTCATTTTGAGGTTTGGGGTTTGGGTGGGGTTTCTTTGAAGAATGGGTTACATTGTGAAACGCTTTGGCTCTTCTGTCAGGGTTATATTTTGTTTCAGTAAATTGTTTGGGTTTAGGGTGGGTATTAGGATTCGAATCTGGAACATCGTTTACTGATGTAAGTTCCTTAAAAGTGTTCGTTAAGAACACATCAAGATTCGTCCATGGCGGCATTTCAGCGCTATCATTGAGAGTTTTCTCAAACTCTCTTCGGGTTTCTTTGGGTAATTTTGATAAGCAAAGATATACAAAGATAGGATCCCAATTATCCGTATCAATTTCTAATGAATTTAAATTAGTAATACAACAATTAATCTTTCTCTGAAACTTTCTTATAGAAGCACTGCACATGGTGCTTACTGTGGGTAAATTAAAAAGTGTTTTCAATTGCGCATTGATTTGCATTCGTCTATTTTCAAATTGAGAGACGAGTTGGGTCCACGCAATGAGAAAGCCATCATTAGTTAGGGGTGCGTTGTCAACGATTTCTTTGGCTTCGCCGCTTGTTTTTTGCTTAAGATAGAAGAGTTTTTCAACTCCACTTAAGCGTGTGTTGTTACCATATATGGCTTTAAAAAGATCCCGGAAAGAAGCCCAAGATTTAAAATCCCCATTAAATGTAGGCATATCGCATGGAGGTACATTGAAGGCTACGGAATTGTTGGGTTGTGGGGGTTCGGGTAATGAGGCTCGGGTATCATTGGCCTTAGTAATCTCTTCAATAGATTCATCTATTGAGATCATACTAGTTCTATAAAAATTTCTGGCAGATCTAAAATGATGCACAACTTCCGTTAAATTGATTGTTTCAGCCTTCTTTGGATCGAGTAAATCTGCGGATTCTCTAATTTGAGTGAATTTATGGTCAATTTTAGACCATAAATCACTTAATTCACGTTTTTTGAATTTGAGTGCGGGTAGCGATTGAAAACTTTCCGGAGAGGAGCGATAATCTTCCTCAAAAGACTCCAAATCCATTTGGATATATCGCATTAAAGTGGCGGCCAAAGATTTTAAATCGGACATATTGGGTTAATTTTATTTAAAAATCTACAAAAATTTGTAACGGCAAACTTAAATTTCCGACAGGGTATTTTATGTGTGTATGGGTACGCTACACAATTCGGGTGGTAATATTAGCTTAATCAAGCAATATATAAAAATAATTCCAAAAAAGCTTTTAATAGGGTGGGTGGGTGAGTGGGTTTTGAATAGAAAATATTTTTATATTATATTGCTTGACAAATAAAACTAATATAATACAAAAAAAATGGAAATTTAAATTTTATTAGTAAGTTGTAAAAAATACACTTACCTTGTTTGCTGGGGGTAGGGTACAAACCTTCACAAGAGATAAACCAAAAAAAAATCTCTTGTGTTGTCGATTCTTCTTTACACCTTCTTCCCGCTATGATGTGTGTTGATCTTGTGTGTAGTGTTGCTGTTGTAATATGTAAGCTGGGTCTGGTATGTATGTTTAAGCGTGTGTATATGTTTTGTGTGTGTTTTATTTCTTGTTTATTTTTGTGTATTAATGTTTTTTTTTAATATTTTCAAAAATATGTACAGTGTGTGTTTTTCTTTTGTAAGTTTTGTATTATTTTCAATATGTGTAGTTGTTATTTATTTTTGTTTTAATGAATTTGCGTGTATATATTTTTTTTTTTTTTAATTTTTGTTAATTTATTAAATAATTATGTATTAATAATTTCTGTTTTTGTAGTTTTTATATGTTTATTTATTTATTTTTTTTTTAACAAATAGGTATTGGGGTATGTGGGTAATTTTTTTTCTTTTTAGATTAATATTTTGTGTTTCACTGTATTTTTTTTTTTTTTTGATGTATGTTCTTGTTAAAAATATTTGTTTTTATTTGTAAGGTATTTTTTATCTTTTCACTGTTTTTATGTTGTGAATTTTGATTTGTTGTGTTTTCTGTTTATTTTAAATTTGTTTCAGTTTTATTTGTTGAAAATTTTTGTTATCTTTTGTAACTTTTTGTTTTAATATTTTAATTTACTTTTAGGTTAGGGTTTTAAATTTATTTTATAAATTCAATAGATATTTAGTTTTTAGTTTTAATTTTGGATTTTAAATTTTGTTTATAATATATGGAAACACTTTCACTTAAATTTGTGGTTTTTAGGTTTCCTTGTAAGTTATTATTTTTAACTTTAAAACTGCCGGGTTAACGAGGCGCACAGATTTTTTGTTCTTCTCACAGGTGGATTAGAATAGAAGTAAGTAAAAAGGCAAAAACTGCAGCTGACGTTCGTATAAAAAATGAAGTTGGCTGCAGTTTGGTGTGGGTGCTATTGGACTTCAGGGATGGTAACGTTCAATTGTTCACTGATGTGAACAGGTACCCTGCAGTCAGACTGGGTCCATATGTCTTTTTGTCAACAGTACTAGTTCAAATGTCTCTAATCTTTCATTTTTGTGTCAATATAAAAAATATAGAGACAAAAGATATGGTGTATACCTAGTGACATTGTCAAGAAACGTGTCAATATTCCTTAAGAAAATGTCTATAGTAAAACTTTATTGAGTCGCGCTTGACTTGGTCAACAGTATTGCCGACTAATTGTACACTATACCATGTACCTGCTGTTGACATTTATGTTTCTTTATTCTACTGCGCAATAGCTCTCCTCTATTTTTATACCCTCCACCACCATCAGTGGTGATAGAGGGTATATATAACTTTGTCATTCCGTGTGTAACACCAAGAAATATTCATCTGAGACCCAACAAAGTATATATATTCTGGGTCCTTATGAAATTCTGAGTCGATTTAGCTATGTCCGTCTGTCCGTCCGTCTGTCTGTCTGTGTAAAACACGCTCACGTTAAAACGAAGCAATATAATTTAACCAAATTCAATTCAAAATATTCACTATTATCCGGTACAGTTTGGTATTGAAAATGAGCAAAATCGGTTCACACTGGGAAAAGTTATGAATCAAAATTTAAAACAACTCCGAAAAAAAATAAGCATTTTTTACACATTCCGATGTAATTTTCTCGAAAACTATTCAAGATAATTTCATGAAAGTCATCATACGTTTGTTTCTACACAAGATATTGATTCCTGCTGAAAATTGCCAGAATCGGTCCATAATTTCATATACCTCCCATACAAAAGTACATATTCCCGGAAAATGAGTTTTTTGTTAATAACTTCCGTTAGAATGTTGATATCTTCACAAAATTTTACAAATTAAAATCTTATGTCAATAGAATTCATTGGGAGAAAACATTTTTTAGATCGGTCCATAATTGGTCATAGCTCCCATACAGGGTCCCCTCCCGAAAATCACTTAAAAGCACATAACTCATTACTAAATTAAGATATCCATATAAAATTTGGTAAAAGTATTGCTCTCATATACAGAAATATTTTTATGCAATTTTTTTTGCGATCGGTCCATAATTGGTCATAGCTCCCATACAAGGACCCTTAACGAAAATCACTTAAACGCGCATAACTCATTACTAAATTATGATATCCATATAAAATATGGAATAGGTATTGCTAATATGCACAGAAATATTACTATGAAATATTTTTCCGATCGGTCCATATTTGGTCATAGCTCCCATACAAGGACCCTTGCCGAATATCACTTAAACGCACATAACTCATTACTAATTCAAGATATCCATATAAAATTTGGTATAATTATTGCTTACATATACAGAAATATTACTATGGAATTTTTTTCCGATCGGTTCATAATTGGTCATAGCTCCCATACAGGGTCCCCTTCCGAAAATCACTTAAAAGCACATAACTCATTACTAAATTAAGATATCCATATAAAATTTGGTACAAGTATTGCTCTCATATACAGAAATATTTTTATGCAATTTTTTTGCGATCGGTACATAATTGGTCATAGCTCCCATATAGGCTTGCCAGACGTACTGTTTTCAGCTGCATAACCCCTAAAGAAGTACGCAAATGTACTTCTTTTTAGTATTTGTACTTCTTTTTGTACTTTTTTTGTATTTTACCATAATTTTATAGGTATAAATATGACCATAGACAATTATTCTACTTATAGAATCGCTATTTAAGGACTTAATAGATAATGCTCATCCATTTGATATGAGGTTTGGATGCCTTTGTCATGTATTAAATAATACATTTATTAAACATTTGATTTAGACAGCAATGTAATGAAAGTTTTTAATGAATTTTCGAAATAAAAAAAATTTGAAATCTGAAGGACATGTTTGAATGTTAAAACGGTCTGTAATGCTCCGTCATGTACCATTCGATGACTTTATCCATCCCCGCTGTGGAACGATTTAAAGAAAAACGATCCTGCCATTCTAATTTTTCGTAAATGAAGTATCTGAGGAAGTTGGAAGAAAGTTATTGACTTGTAATAATTGATTGATTGACTTGTAAATATTGATATCAGAATAAAATAGTATGGGTTTTTAGAACGTTTTTCTATCAACGATATTTCAGTAATTTGTAACAATTTGTTACTATATTCCGTTCGCGTACTTTACAAAATTTGCAACGAGAGAGTATGATAATGATAAATATGATAGTTCGTTGATAGAGAATTTTTTACTGGATATTTTTTCTCCAGTAAAAGATATCAAACATATGAATGTTCACAACAAATTATTGATATTTGAAAATGTAAACAAACCAAACAAAACAAAAATTTGGTGAATTCGACATTTTTTAAAGAAAAAATATAAATTAATAACACACGAATATTAAAAAATGATTTGTAATTGGATTAATTATAAATTTATTTCTCATGAATTAGTTTTCAATTGAATTTGTTGTGAAAAATCATAACAACCTATATCAATATACCGTTTTTAGAACACTTTAATTGAATTTTTTTAAAAATAAACAATTGTACTTTTTTCTACTCAATTGTACTGCTTTTTTAACTACGATGTACGTTTTTTGTTGATTTCAAATCTGGCAAGCCTACTCCCATACAAGGACCCTTAACGAAAATCACTTAAACGCGCATAACTCATTACTAAATTAAGGTATCCATATAAAATATGGAATAGGTATTGCTAATATGCACAGAAATATTACTATGAAATATTTTTCCGATCGGTCCATAATTGGTCATAGCTTCCATACAAGGACCCTTGCCGAAAATCACTTAAACGCACATAACTCATTACTAAATTAAGATATCCATATAAAATTTGGTACAAGTATTGCTCATATGCACAGAAATATTGCTATGAAATTTTTTTCCGATCAGTTCATAATTGGTCATAGCTCCCATACAAGGTCCCCTCCCGAAAATCACTTAAACACACATAACTCATTACTAAATTAAAATATCCATATAAAGTTTGGTACAAGTATAGCTCTCATATATAGAGATATTACTATGAATTTTTTTTTTCCGATCGGTCCATAATTGGTCACAGCTCCCATACAAGGTCACCTCCCGAAAATCACTTAAATGCACAATATTCATTGCCAAATAATGATATAGATACAGAATTTTGAAATTTTGTCTTTATATACATAATTGGTCCTAGGTCCTTTTACGAAAATCTCTTAAACGCACATTACTCATTACCAAATAAAGCTATTGATACAAAATTTGGCACAAATATTAGTTTGGTATACAAAAATTCTATTTCAAGATTTTTTCATGATCGGTCTATAACATGGGTGCGGTCGGTCCCATGCAAGTGTCCCTTCAGAAAATCACTTGAACACACATTACTTATTACTAAATTACGATATAGATACAAAATTTGACTGAAATATAGTTTTTATGTGCAGAAATTTTGCTTAAAGAATATTTTACGATCGGTCTATAATTGGTCATATCTCCCATACTAGGTCCTGCCCCTAAAAACAATTTGTGTAGAACAAAATTATATATATGTATTTTGAAAATCCTTAAATCTTTCACACACATGCATACATGCACATTGTTAAATATCGTTAAAGCATATCTAAGGGCGCTATACAAATGTAAAAGAAAATGGGGTTTGTAATGTTCAACAAATCTTGGA